CACTTACACTCATGAATCTAGAAGCTTCATAAAATGCGTTGGTACGTGTAGCTAAATAAGGTGGGGGGACGGGTGAGGTTGTTGAGGGAACATCATGACACAAGTCACCTGTTTTGTAATATGTCTTGTCTATTTGTCCTTTTGTATGTTTGTCTGTCTGTCTATCCATCCATCCGGTTATGTCTGTCTGTATGTATGGCTATTTCCTGTCTCCGTCGTTCCTGTCTCCACCCTCCTAACCTGCCTTGTCTGTCTATCCATCTGTCTGCCTCTGTACGTCCGTCCACCCACGTCACCTACCTTGCTACCTGTCTGCCTGTTTCTACTTAAACCTATCTACCCGCCTGCCTACTTGGACCTATCTACCTGTTTCTACTCTATCTACCCGCCTGCCTACTTGGACCTATCTACCTGTTTCTACTTAAACCTATCTACCCGCCTGCCTACTTGGACCTATCTACCTGTTTCTACTCTATCTACCCGCCTGCCTACTTGGACCTATCTACCTGTTTCTACTTAAACCGATCTACCCGCCTGCCTACTTAAACCTATCTACCGGCCTGGACCTATTTACCTGTTTCTACTTAAACCTATCTACCCGCCTGCCTACTTGGACCTATCTACCTGTTTCTACTTAAACCTATCTACCCGCCTGCCTACTTGGACCTATCTACCTGTTTCTACTTAAACCGATCTACCCGCCTGCCTACTTGGACCTATCTACCGGCCTGCCTACTTAAACCTATCTACCGGCCTGGACCTATCTACCTGTTTCTACTTAAACCTATCTACCCGCCTCCCTACTTGGACCTATCTACCTGTATCTACTTAAACCTATCTACCCGCCTGCCTACTTGGACCTATCTACCTGTTTCTACTTAAACCTATCTACCCGCCTGCCTACTAGGTTACCATAAGAATAATTTATGTCGATATTTTCACTCTTCTTGTGCCTTTATAATGAGCGCATTCTTGTGGTTGCTATTTAGGTTAACCTGATAAGACATGTATGGAATAAATAGTATATACGGGGAAGGCTGACCCAGGTAACACATGCCTGTCGAAGTCATATGAAAGGCGCAAATATCGCAGCCAGGCTGTAAGAGGGCACAACGATTTTCTTCTTTAGATGAACGAAGAAGAAGAAGAGGAAGAATAAATAATTTATCAAATGGGAGAGATAAGAAAATCTGCTCGCCTCCCTTTTCAGTCCTTTACTGCCATTTATCCTTTCTGTCTGCCTGCCTGCCTTTCTTCATCATTCATTTACCCATTTTTACCAGCGTTGGACTGGCACTATCAACCGCGTGACGCTGATGAATATGTTGAGGGGGAATCTGAGCACCTATGCGTGCGTCCGGAGTGCTGTGAAAATAATTCAACTCATAACTTATCCATTGTCTTTCTCATTCATTCATCCTTTCTGTCTGTCTTTCTTTCTATCTCACTGTCCCAGCCCTAGACCTTAACCCCCACCCCCCCCCACCCCCCACCCCCAATGGAAGACATACTTGGCTTTCCCTACCAATCAATACTACATTATGAATGAGTGGAGAGAATCTGCAACAGGGAATCTCGTTAAAACAGGTCTATCCAGCCGCGGCTAGTTCAGGCCGGGCCATGGTAAAGATGCGGCAAAAAAAAAAAAAACAATTGTGTTGACCCTGGAAGGATATTTTCCAGAGTTCACTCTTTTAATACCAAACATCTCAGCATTTCTCTTGATATTTCAGAAGATAATTTAAAAGTTCTTGATGTCTTCTATCCCAGACGGAGTTACTTTTTTTTTTTCATCTCAGGACTGCGAGATTTCCTAGGGAATTCCCCCCGGGAAAATCCAATATTATAAAGAAGAGAGGGGGGAGGGTAAGATTAGTTTGTCGGTACTCATTTCATGCCCTAACACCGCTATACTATTGGACTTTCTCCTCTATACTATTGGACTTTCTCCGGGGACGCCCCATGAAATCTCGCGGTCCCCAAGATAGGCTGAGTTACAAGAACAGGACCCAGACTTATGTTATACTAACCATTTTTGTCTGAATTATGAAAGAAGGAGAGGCTTCAGATAAAAACTAGGGTATTCGAAATAACCATGCTGTCTACTAACCTGTTATTGTTGTTAAGGATGTCAGGAATGTTAAGCACATGTCATCGCTGTTCAGGCGACTTAATAATAACAGTTTAAAAGCGACCGCTCCCACTTTTGACCAGCATCAAATAGGAGCAGCACTGCTCTTGTTATCCGTTTTCTGAGCAGTGAAAAAGTGAAACCTATTGACATTTATCAGCGAATGAAGGTCTGTTTTGGTAATGCCTGCTTTTAGATCAGTCCAGCAAGTGTGTGAGGGGAGTAGAAAGTTTCTCTTACAGACCAGATATGATAATTTCTATCCCACTTTTAAGGCTTTCATTTGAAGCCCCCCAAACTTTTACCCCTTATCGCTTTGTCTCCCAATGTGGAGGTCCATCCCCCAAAGGGGAGTAGTTTGATTGTTAACTTTTTTTGGGGGGATCCCAAAGGCACATAATGTGCGATAAACTCGTTCTCATGAATTCCAAACATCATCTTATGTGTTCTGTTACTTTCTGCATTTTGTTCTGTTACTTTCTGCATTTTGTTCTGTTACTTTCTGCATTTTGTTCTGTTACTTTCTGCATAGCAGGAGCATCACAGAGCAGGACACTCACTATCGCAGCCCCTAGCAGTCGAAAAGGTTGCTGAAGGCTGAGGACATGGTCTAAAGCCATGTGGATGTGGAAAGCAATGGAAAACTACCACATTACTATCCCAAGAAACTCATCACGGATGAAGATGAGAAATACTGACATCTTGAAAGATCTGAACATCTAGGAAGATTGGCTTATAAACAGCATCCTGTCTCGAAAGCTGAAATATTTTGGTCATATCAAGCGCCATGACGGATTAGAAAATATTATAGCAGAAGGTATGGTGCCAGGAAGAAAGGGCAGGGGCTGACTGACACAAAGATGGGCACAGGATATAAGTGACTCCTTGAGTCCTTTCAGGCAGACTGTGATGAGAGCGACGTTCTGCAAAGGACCTGCTACATGATGACTTTCTGCATTTGGCCATAGAATACTATGTCTCTTCTCTGGTTATTTCTCTTCTTAAGCAACTGCTGCGAAAAGTTCTTGGACTGAAAAACTTAAAGAGGCCAGTTTGAAAATGGACTCATCCAGAGTTCAACAACTGTATGGCGATGTTACATAGGGGGCATAAGAATTTAGAAATGCTTTTGTGGGGCATGGCACACAGAAAGTTGGGAATCACTGGCTTATCATTCTCTTGTGGACTTCCTGAGACCCATGTGACTATTGCTGTACGCTCAACTCCTTGAAACTCTCAGTTGTTTGATACTGAAAGAGTTGAATGTGAAAGAACGAACGAACAAACTTTATTTTCAAAGGGTCACAAATTGGGCACACGGGCCTGTCTTACATTTGACACTTTTAAACACCCATCTTTCACACAGCAGTTGTATTTTATCAATAAAGAATGTTATATTTATATAACAATGTGCATGTTAAAAAGGTAAAGGTAAAGTCGGGAAATGTGAACCAGCGTCATTGCACACGGTTATAAACCATAAGTGCTCTGCCACCAGTACGGACAGCTGATAAGAAACTGTCCACCTGTGTCGCCATCCCTGCACGAAACTCCATAGCTACAGCGATATTCCTTCATTTACCCCAGAGTTTAAACTCTGGTACCCATTTCCTAGATGCTGGGTGAACCCCGGGAACCGGCTGGTTTCCAACACCGGCCGTGGGCTGTAGCAAGTCGCAGCTGGATTTGAGAACGAGTCTCCTATCGACTTTGATAATGCAGCTCCGGAATGTTATGAATACCAAGAAAAAATGCAGTAGCATGGGAACACTGAAAGAAAGTCAAGAACCCTTACCCACGCCTTCAGGTGCATTGGGCATATAGGGCTAGACCTATATTTTATAGACCAATTGGTACTTGATGGGTGATGTGGTCAGCATCACACAGGCCGCCTTTACTTCCCAGGATTGCATTGGTACCCACTCAAAGGCTAGGTCGACCTGGGAGCCAGGGTCATTTTTGAAGAAAGCCCGTTTTTTGCCGCGACCTGAACCCATGACGCTCAGATCTGCAGGCTAGCGTCAAGCTGCTACACCACGACTCCCAAATGTAAAAGTACAAAAACATTTTTATACTAAAAGGTTAATATTGAAAGCCGAGAGAATCGGCCTCATTGTACCGGGATTTATCCAGTATGTGTCGGTTTTTCTCCGCAGAACGACTAGGCACCTGCTGAAAGCAGCGCACAAAACATGAACTCCGTAGCTCCAATGATGATCCCCGGGGCTAAACGGCACAGCAAGGAACTGAAACCACGACATTTAGATTGCGAGGCAGATAGCTTGACCTCTTTGCCGCGGTTTGCACACTAGAAGCCAGAGCTGTTGTAACAGATTGGCATACTTCAGCAGCAAGGTGAATCCCTTATAGAATATCCGTGTGTGGAGAAAGGGATCATAAACAAATCAAACTAAAATTCAGTCTAACACAAAATGTGACTAGAAAGCCTTATATTTATTACGTTTGTAAAACATGTTATATTTGTCTTGCTTTGGGTTCGACAATGGTACGGAGAGCTGACCGTTCTGAAGCAGTGCCAAACTACTGAACGTAAATTTTGTTAGAAAAACCACAACAGCCAAAACACGTTAGGATTGGTTCTGCAACGTTCTCTAAAGGAAATGCAACTAACTAACTAATATATATGTTATATTTAGTATTGGAACTCTGCGCTGGCTGCTCAGGATGGGGACAGCATGCATTTGGAAATGCTCCGAGTGCTGTGATGTCAATTCTTAACTCAGCTCAACTCATGTTATATTTAGTAGCATTTCTTGCAATGAGCTCAATTGCGGTCGCACCCTATTTAGGTCGTCACTTTAAAATGTCACCTGTTTAAAAAGTTTTTTTGACTTATGTGTATTTGTAGGCTCTAAAGAAGGAAGCAGCAAAGAGTCCTATGCCTTCCTGCAGAAAGAGCTGCCCGTGCGTCTGGCCAACATCATGAAGGAGATCAGTCTCTTGCCAGAAAACCTCCTAAAGATGTCCAGTGTGAAACTCGTCATGAGCTGGTGGGTACCCTAGACTGGATGTGTTTCTGTCTGACAATATTTGTCTACTGTTTGATGTGCATTTTGTGGCTTGTTTGTGTGGGACACATACACTTACCAAGGACCAAACTCAGGTCTGGATTATCTACTGCAGGGCTAGTTTAAGGCTAGTCTCCCCAAAGCAAGCAAGTCGGGTTCCATTGATAACTTTGTTGGACAGGGCTGCATGCTGGAGGTTACAGGTGTGCTGCTCTGTTGTTTTGCTTTCTGAATTGTCTTGCATGTGACATAGGTTTTACACTCTCTAAAAAGGGTTTGTGTTAGACCCAGTTTCTCGATGTTTTTGGAGTGTTAAAAGCGTTGGCATGCTAAAATATACAACACGTGATATCAACAGAATTGTGGAACACTCCCGTAACCTTGTGCCAATGTCACGTGGCCCAAGGTCAACCAATCAGAAGTGAGCTAGGCTGAAGGTGGACCAGTTAGAAGTGAGCTAGTGTGTAAGAATGTGTAAATGGGGAGACCAACATTGAACTAACCCAAAAGTCAACTCAGGGCCCAAAATGTTGAAAATGGGAATTATCATCACTGGCCAGAGCCCTAGCATAGAAAGGTCCTTAATGCAGTACAACTGGCAGTGATCTGCTCGGCCAAATGTGTCCCACATCTGCCAATTAGCCAATTATATACCCCGGTCTGCTATTTGGTGTGCAGTGATGGATTTTTTTTTTTTTTTGCTTCAAACTAGCAACAACAAAATATCCATCCCTTACAGGAATCGAACTCGGGTCTCTGTTGTCTGCTGTTTAGTGTGGAATTATTATAATTTTTTTTTTTGACAAACAAAAAAACAATCCATCCTTTACCAAGGGATCCTTGGATCAAACTCGGGTCTCCTGCATGACAGTCCATTGCCCTAACTACTCAGGCAGCTGCCCTTCTTTCTTTTTGTTACCAGCAATTTTTTGTGTTCTATTTTCTCATTAGTCCAACTAAACATATTTTTTAGTTATAAACACATCTTTGCAGTGCTTGTTTGTTTCAAAGTTTATCTAAACATTGTCGGCCGGTCAGAAACGAATGTTGTTTACATCGCTTCAAGTGACACCATGCTCATCTCTGTCAGTGTAGCAGTGACATTTACCTGTCAGTCATCGCTTGGTTAAATAAACAACAGGAGCATACTCCAAGAAACATTTAACCCCCGTAAAGAAGACCAGCCTTACATACAGGCAGTAATGATATTTATTTTAATGTGGCAACCCTTTAGTACAGAGTCCCATGTTCTGGTAATCCCCAAAATTATGTTTGTTGCTACTTCATAAATTCAGTGAATATGTGTAATTACATCAGATGAACAGGAAAAAGAAGAATAAGAATGCTTAGATGATCTAAATGTTTCGGTTCATGTTGGGCAAAAGTTTTTTTTAACCTGCACAGTTCATTGTGACAGCAACTAGACCCAAAGTCTTAATCTTAAATCCTCAGTCGCAAAACAAACCTGTCTTTAGCCACCATAAAACAAATCATAATAATAAATGCAATAAAGACCAGAAAGGCAATCAGTATGCTTGGACATAATCAGAACTGTAAGATTTAAAAAAAATAAAAAAGAATTGCACATAAACTAAGTCTGCACTTGGGTCATCAAATCGAGACCATAGTACAGAATCTGGGGTTCTTGACTGACTTAAATTGTGGTGTATCAGCTGGAGTTGCCAGCTGGCACTATGTGGGGCTAGGATTAGATGTGGGTTAACATGTAGACTGTATAATGAAGCTGAGTGGTCGCAAAGTATATTTTGATATCAGGTGCGCAAAACTGTCAGACGCATTAATGTTTTTTCCTTCATATTTATAGAGGCTCCGTGGCGAAGTGGTCAAGCCGCTAGCCTCGTGCTGTGAAGGTCATGGGTTTATTTCACACCGGCCCCGTTCAGTTTATGAGTGCAATTTTATGGAGATCCCTGGAAAGTTTATGTTCTGTGCAATGCTCTTGGCAGGCAGCTAGCTTTTCTGTGCAACGCTCTTGGCAGGCAGCTAGCTGTTCTGTGCAACGCTCTTGGCAGGCAGCTAGCTTTTCTGTGCAACACTCTTGGCAGGCAGCTAGCTGTTCTGTGCAACGCTCTTGGCAGGCAGCTAGCTTTTCTGTGTAGAGAGACTGAGCCATATGGGATAAAACCTGGTGCGGTGAAGTCAATGCTCTCACTTTACCTGTACTTCAAAGTCAGAGTGCATCTGCCTGAGAGGCAAGGTCTAGCAGTCTCTGTATAGACAAGTCAGATCTTTATAACAGATGAGCACACTCTTCTTCTTCTTCTTAGTCTTCTTCTTCATCTTCTTCTTCTTCTTCTTATTCTGTGTTCACTGGCTGTAAGCTGCTGCAGAAAGTCCTCCTTGTTCTCCATTTGAACTTTAGCTTTGTGCCAGGGTCTGACTTTTGGGTGTGCATGCATTTTACTGGCTTATTTGTGTGCAGTTGCTTGTTACTTGCCGTTCGGGCAGATACACCACTGCCTATGACCAACGAAGAAGAAAAAGACACTTAATTGCAATAGTGGAAAATTGATGATGACACAAAACTAGGGAATGAGTGTTTTAATTCACTTTTGGGTTCCAGGGATCCATTTTTGGGGAGGGGGGAATAAACTCACTGCCTCCTAACAAGCATGTCATAAAAGGTGACTAACTGCATTTCCTTCAGAGTGAATCTCTCTGAGATGCAAGGAACCAACAGTCTGCATTCTAATCAACCAACACCTGTAAAACGTATGTGCACAGAGAAACTCAAGTTCTCAAACAAGACAAGTCCAGAAGTGGATGAACAACCAGAATTTTCCACTGAAGTTTACAGCGGGTTAACACAAAAAGAATGTACAATTCGACTATTCTGTTATAAAAATGATCAACTACTATGTTGAAGTCTAATGTTACTGTTTGTGTCTTGTATGTTCAGGTACCAACAGAGCTTCAAGGAGTTGATTGAATTTGAGAACCAGGATAGGATTAACAAGAACATAATGGAAAAGTAAGCCTCATTGTCGTGTGTCAGCCATGGCTGTGTGTGAGGATTGTGTGGAATGTGTAGTCTGTCTATCTCTTTGTGTGTCTTTTCTGTCTGTCTGTCTGTCTGTCTGTCTGTCTCTCTCTCTCTCTCTCTCTCTCTCTCTCTCTCTCTCTCTCTCTCTCTCTCTCTCTCTCTCTCTCTCTCTCTCTCTCTCTCTCTCTCTCTCTATCTATGTCTGTCTCACTTTCTACCTGTATGTGTCACTCTCTGTCTCTTTCTAGCTCTCTTTCTGTCCCCCCCCCTCTCCCCTCTCCCACCTTATATCCCACGCTGGAACATGTATTTTCACTCTGTCATGTTTGAATGCAATAGTGATGATACCATTAATGACATGAATAAAAAAAATAAAAAAAGTTTTATAACTTAATGGCAGGTAATTTGTATACTATATCATGTTAAACCAAAGATTTGTTCTTCGAATTCACTGGCTGTAAACTCTGGCAGAAAGTTTTGGTTGTTCATCCACCTCTGGACTTAAGATTCTTTTAGAACTTGTACTTGTATGTACATCCATTTTGCACATCTGACTCATTTGTGTGCAGACTGTTGGTTCCTTGCCTGTCAGGCAGATGCACTCTGTCTTCGAAGGAAGCCCCCGTTAGTTGACTCTTACGACATGTTTTGAGAGGCAGTGTGTCTATTCTGGTTTTCCTTACAATGGGACCCCGGGAACTCACATGAAAAAATTAAAAGATGTGATAAATAAAAATCCATAATGCAGGAATCATTTTTTTGTGTACCTAAAATTATCCTTTTTACTCTTATCCATTTCATTGCATTTTCCTGATTTAAGTAAGTGATTGTATTTATCTTTTAATTGTTAATTTTTTTTCTAAATTTGAAAACGGAATTGATTGATATGATGTTAATGGGAAATTGGGTTACGAAATTTGAACGTTTCAAGATGCCAACCACAGTCAGGAATGAATTAACTTTATTAGTCAAGTTACAGAATACAGGATAATAATTAGACAGGGAAAGGATATAAACTCCAGCCACATACAAGACGAAAATATAAAAATCAAAACGAACGGAAACGTATAAGTAAAAAAAAAGTAAAGTAAAGATCCCTTTTCACGCCTTTCGGCGCATCGGGCATACTTGGGTGCAAACTTTAAATGCTCCAACATGTTAAGAGAAGAAATACAATCTAGATTTAAATTTGGAAATCAAGTGAACTATGCCCTTCAACATCTGATAAAGTCAAGGTGTCTGTCTCGCAACACCAAGATCAAAATATATAAAACGTTGAAGACCAGTCGTGTTTTATGGCTGTGAAACTTGGAGCACAACTAAAAGAGATGAAGCCTTATTACAGGTTTTGGAAAACAAGAGTCTTACGACAAATCTTTGGACCCATCAAATGTGCAAACAGCGGTGAATGGAGAGTGAGAAGCAACAAAGAAATTCATAATCTGAATTAATTCCCCACTGATTCCTGGCATCATGAGAGCTAATAAACTGAAATGGTTGGGGTATATTGAAAGAATGTCAGTTGACAGAGAAGTAAAAACTATACACAAGGGAGATGAATGGTCGAAGACCACGAGGGAGACCAAGAAGACAAACGAGAGATAATATCCAGACAGACCTGCAAACACTTGGTGTTACCAACTGGAAAGAGAAGGCTAACCAGAGAGATGAATGGAGGCAGGTGATATCTGCAGCAATGAACTCAAGGGATCGGAATGCTGAAGAAGAAGTCGAGGCACCACTGTACTGGATATTAGATTTCATCACTCTCTTATCAACGTCTGTGGCTTAGGCGTTGCGAACGTGCCTTGTGGTGCCGGGTTTGGTCCCAGCTGCGGACCATTTGTCTTGCATTAGTTTCGACAGTGCTACTGAGAGACCTTTTAGAAAGCAAAGGCAAACTGCTGAACGTAAAGTAAAATTTGCCTAGAAAAACCACAAAAATGCTGGGGTTGATTCTGCAATGCCCTGTAAAGGATAGGCAACTAACTAAACTTGTTAGCCCAGTTACATTACTATGAGGCCACGGATGCTGTTATTTTCTAGAGGTTAAATAGCTTGTATGAACATGTTACTGTAAGGAAAGGAAATGGGTTCGAGAACTTGGGAACAACTGGCAGGATTGATGGAAAGATCAAGAGGAAGGCAAAGAGATAAATATGTGGATAGCCTGGCCAGATGGATGGGGCAGGACAGAAACATTGAACTGATCTGTGATTCTGGTTATCATGTGGAAAGGTGAAACATGACAGCCTAGTCTTACCAACTTGGCACATTGTGATGATAATGAATATGTTACATAAGCTGTGTGAAAGTTTAATCTCTCAATCTGTCATCCTCAGTTTCACACATACGCTGATCAATATCAGGAACAGACACAGCAATGTTGTGGAGACTATGGCACAGGTGCGACACAGTGATGTGGTGTTGAATATATGTTTGTGTATTAGGTTATATGCATAGTGTTTGTATGGTCTTTCATCCTGAAGTCTTGTGTTTGGCTTGGGTTCAGTTACATGTCTGTGAATAAGTAAAGTTAAGTCTTCTTCTTCTTCTTTCGTTCGCATGAAATAAATTATCTATATCTGCAATTCTGTCTCTAGTATGAATTTCACTGTCTTTTGTAATTCAATAAGCGGCTCGTAAAGTTTGACTTCGGCAAGTGTCTCTTTTGGCCAGAAGTTTTGCCTGGAAGCGTTGAATCTGGGACAGTCTTGGAGGATGTCATCTGTTGTCTCAGGTGCCAGTCCACAGGTACACATGGCTGATTGGCCAATCTTAAATTTATTGTACATGTGGCAGCGAAGTCGATTGTGCCCTGTTCTTAGGCGAAGGATAATGACTTGCTCTGGTCTGTCCATAATATGGTAATCGTCTTGTGCCAGTTTCGGTGGCATTCTGATTGATTTGATCATTTTCTTCTTCTGTTGATATGAGACTGGTATGTTGGGTTGTTCTTCAGTTGCACCTTCCTTAGCTAGTTTATCAGCTCTTTTGTTTCAGGGAACTCCACAGTGGGAAGTAAAAGTAAAGTACCCTTTTCCACGCCTTCAAGCGGGTTGGAATGCAGGGCTAGACCTATATTTTATATCTAGAAAAGATATAAAACCGAACGAAACGTATATTAGCAAGCTTCACAATATAACAGACACAAACAAAATGTGAACGTTGCGGCTATGGAGCCTTCATCAGCACATACATAAATTTTAAAAATACCGCACAAATACATAAAATCACTTAGCTTAGTGTCTCAAAGCAGCCAGGTTGATGTCTTGTCAGTAGACTGATGAGACACGTGGAATAAATTCACCCCGGGGAATGCCAGGGGCCATAACTGGAGGTTTTAGATAAAACTGTGGGCAGTTCAATCCCCTAGGATTTTAGATGACACTATGTTGACAGTTCAGACCTCTAGGTATTAACATGCCCAAAGTGAAAATAAAACAATTTTCAAGAGATTTGCGGACTGTGTCACTGGAGTGGCTAGATTTGATGGCTATCACCTCCATGTTGTGCTCTATACTTTATTGACCAATTGGCACTTGGTGTGTGATGTAATTAACATCACGCTGGCTGCCTTTACTTCCCAGGACTTTACCTGGTACCCACTCAAGGCTGGTTCGACCTGAGAACCAAGGTTATTTTTTTAAGAAAGCCCGGTCCAGTTGAACCCTTGACTTTCTGATTCACAGGCGAGCGTCTAGTCACTACACCACATGACTCCCTAGATATCCGTGAACAGTCTTATTGGATTGAGACATTGTGAAGTAACTGTTGTGGGTTTCAAGTCCTTGTGGAGCCGGACTTTAAAAAAAATGACTTTGGCTCCCACCCTTGAGTGGGTACCAGAAGCAGTCCTGGGAAGTAAAGGTGGCCATCAGGGTGCTGACCACATCACCCACCAAGTGACAATTGGTCTATGAAATATAGGGTCTAGCCGTATGTGCCCAATACGCCTAGGGGCGTGGAAAAGGGTCTTTACTTTTACTGTGGGTAACCATTTTTTTCTGACTGAATTATTATTTTCTCTGTGCTTTAACTTCTATTTGTTGTTTGCTCTATGCTTTAACTTCTGTTTGTTATAGTATTTGCTCTGTGCTTTAACTTCTGACTGTTTGTTGTAGTATTTGCTCTGTGCTTTAACTTCTGACTGTTTGTTGTAGTATTTGCTCTGTGCTTCAACTTCTGACTGTTTGTTGTAGTATTTTCTCTGTGCTTTAACTTCTGACTGTTTGTTGTAGTATTTTCTCTGTGCTTCAACTTCTGACTGTTTGTTGTAGTATTTTCTCTGTGCTTTAACTTCTGACTGTTTGTTGTAGTATTTTCTCTGTGCTTCAACTTCTGACTGTTTTTTGTAGTATTTTCTCTGTGCTTTAACTTCTGACTGTTTGTTGTAGTATTTTCTCTGTGCTTTAACTTCTGACTGTTTGTTGTAGTATTTTCTCTGTGCTTTAACTTCTGACTGTTTGTTGTAGTATTTTCTCTGTGCTTCAACTTCTGACTGTTTTTTGTAGTATTTTCTCTGTGCTTCAACTTCTGACTGTTTGTTGTAGTATTTTCTTTTTTGCTTCAACTTCTGACTGTTTGTTGTAGTATTTTCTCTGTGCTTTAACTTCTGACTGTTTGTTGTAGTATTTTCTCTGTGCTTTAACTTCTGACTGTTTGTTGTAGTATTTTCTCTGTGCTTCAACTTCTGACTGTTTGTTGTAGTATTTTCTCTGTGCTTCAACTTCTGACTGTTTGTTGTAGTATTTTCTTTGTGCTTTAACTTCTGACTGTTTGTTGTAGTATTTTCTTTGTGCTTTAACTTCTGACTGTTTGTTGTAGTATTTCTCTGTGCTGTCCTCAGGGTGTTATGGAACTGAAGGAAAATCATGGTATTGACAGCAACACGGAGAATAGGATTCAGTATTTCCTGGACCGCTTCTACATGTCCAGAATTAGTATACGAATGCTGATCAACCAGCACAGTGAGTACCTAGGGGTTGTTTCACTTAGATCAGTGCTTCCTGAATGGTTTTGGCCCACCGGGGCCAGTGTGGAAAGAACAAATTACTCAGCACCGTCACACCCTTTTTTTTTTAGCAAAACAACTTGTGTACACATGTGTCCAAATATCGCAATTGATACTGATTCCTGTTGATATAAAGTCAAATAGTAGTATTGGGGGGGGGGGGGGGGGGAAGATTATTCCTGCAACTTCCAAAACTATACTGGATACGTCTGGACAGCTATTCCATAGTTTTGATGTGAGAGTTTTACAATCACTGTTACACTGTATCAGTTTTTATTTTTTTATTTTTATGTTCTGTGAAAGCTTTTCTTGCTAGCAGATTTATACTTTTTCTCAAAAGTTATTGTTCTCTCTTGAAGTTCATGGTTCAGCAGATGGTTTGGAAGCCTTTTTGGTATTTCAAACCAAGTGAGGGTTTTATCTTCTTCTTAGAGTCCATGCCGTGTGGCGTTGGTAGTTATGTCTATCCTCAACCTTCTGTCTCGTGTACTTGCCGCTCTACTGGTTTCAACAACATCTGCAACGTGCTTTGTTTAAAAGATACCGGCGTTTAACTGTTCTTGATTCTTGAAAGTCTTAACTTTCCTTTAGAAGGCAGACCCAAAAGGGATCATGTATAATTAGGCAGCACATGTTCTTTACAATATGCTTTAGGCCTTGTGCTACAGAGAGGAGAAACTTTATCACTGGCTTTGCTTCACCATAACACTGTTGCCTGGAAAGACAAATTGGTGTTGAGGACAGTTTTAGGCCCCGATTCTTTGTCCAGTTCCGTACTTTCTCCACTTTTTGGAGCAGATGGGAGGCTGTAGTTAATCGGTCATTTAAATAGGATCTAAAGGACAGTTAGTAAATTAGAGAGAACTTTTTTTGGAAGCTTCGGGGATGTGGTTTTATAGACGAATGATGATAATACCCTGGACACATAAAAAGAGTAAATGAAGATGTCTTGAAAGAAACAGACTCACAAAGAGAACTGGTTGCCCACTTCAGAAAGCAAAAAAACATTCTACATTCTTTGGTCATGTCATAAGAAGGAGAAAACTGGGGTACATCCTGACCAAAAGCTGGAGGGGAGGAGAGTGAGACTGAGAGAACAGATGCTGGACAGTTTGACATCATGGCATGGAAGATCATCTGTGTCAGATTTGATTGCAAGTACACAAGACAGAAGGTTGTGGACAGACATGACTACCATCGCCACATGGCATAGACTTTAAGAAGAAGAAATAGCAAAGCCAAAAGTAAGCATTAGTTTTATATAGCTCTGACACCTGTCAGTTGTTGGAGACTTCGAGATGAGATTCACTAATGTTATTTAAGTAAACCGCAAAAAAAATGTGCTTTGGTAGACTGCTCTATCAGGTTTACTGACTTTCTGAAAAGGCTATTTAGCCAATCATTGGTACAGAAGCTTTCCTCCTATTCAGACGTACAAGTTGTGAGTAACTACTACTTGCTGAAATTGCAGCTTAGATCCTCCTTCTCAGGTGTTGAAAGGGTGGAAATATTAAAACAAAACCGGAAAATTTAATTTAAATGAATGTTGATGAGAATAAAAATTAGTTGCGTATCCTTTACAGGACGTTGCAGAACCAGTCCCAGCATTTTTTTGGCTGTTGTGGTTTTTCTTGGCAAATTCACATCCAGTAGTTTGCCATTGCTTTCTGGACGGTCGTTTTTTTGATACCACTGTCAAAACCAGCGCAAAGCCCACAGCTGGGATTGATCCCGGCATTACAAAAGTGCGTTCGTCACGCCTAAGCCACATACGCCGACAAATGAGAATAAACCACACTGATCATAACATAAATTTTAATTTTTTTTTTGTTATTTACAAATAAAGCAATCACTAAGATTTTAACTTCTTATACTACATTGAAACAGGTATGATAATTTATCAAACTCCCCCCACCCCCCTCTTTTGTTTTTTCTTATTGAATACTTCCCAGCTGCACCTGAGGCAGTTTTGCCCCTGGACCGTCCCACTACCCATAGGGTGCAGAATACAGGCTCACCTACCGGCCCAGAAGTCCTAGGTTTGGATCCACATTGAGTCTGATATTTTGGGAGGAAAATTGACTTGATCTTTCAGGTTGACCCAACCTTCCCAGTGTGATGTTCCAGGGTCCCATTGTGGTGGGAGGATAGCCCCCACTCCCCCCCCCCCCCAAAAAAAAACCAAGCATGTTGTAAACGTAACTAATTAAGGGTGTTTCCTTCGAAGTCAGAATGTTTCTGCCTGAGAGACAAGGAATGAGACAGATCTGTAAAACGGATGTGCACACAAAACTCATGTTCTGGTACAAGACTAAAATCCAGTAATGGGCGAACAACCAAAGCTGGAGTTTACAGCCGTGAGTTGCCTTTCTCTACATGGTTGTTAGTGGGGGGGGGGGGGAAGAGACAGTAGGTATATTCATGTTTTTCCCCAAAATGGGGCTCTGTAACTCAGACCGTGAGTTTTTCTATGATTCTAGGATTCTGTGCACTCTTCTTAAAACCCACTTTAATTAATAAACTGCGTGTGTATATATATCTTATGAGTGTCAATCAGTAATTGTCTCTCTTCTCAAAACCCACATCTCCGCTAGAGTAAATGTTTTTCAGCTCTGTTTAACTACAGGGGAGGAGCAGCTGGCTGAACGGTTAGAACACGAGGCTCTTAAGCGTGAGACCCAGGTTCAAATCCTCTGTAAGGTTGAGGATTTTTTCTGTCGGGGGCAAAATAAAATACTCACCTGCACAGTCGTGGCGACAGCACTAGCCTTATGGCTGTAAATCCTCAGACTCGAAGACCTCCCTGTCTGCACTGCAAAAGTGATAAAATAAAGGCAGTAATTTGCAGTTTTTATTTGACAGTAATTAAAGGTGAATGTTTTCATGTGTCATTTCTGTTTCTGTGGTCTGAAGCAGCTGTTCTTTACATTTCAGTTCTGTTGTTTGGCAAGAAGGAAAAGAACAATGACCCCAGACATATAGGATGTATTGACCCTAACTGTAATGTGTCTTTAGTAGTACAAGGTTGGTTTCTTGTTCTTCCATTTGTTTTATTGGTATTTCTTTTTAAACTTTGGGCGAGGATGCGGAAGGGGGGGGGGGGTTAGATGGGTCTCAGACATTAAATTCTTCTCTATCCTATTCTTCATCTTTTCTATCTTCTCCTTTTTCTTCATATTCTTCATCTTCTTCTTTTTTCTTTCCTTCTTCTCCATCTTCTCTTTTTCTTTTCTCCATTTCCTCCTTCTTCTTCTCCATCCTCTTCTTCTTCTTCTTCATCTTCTCCTTTTTCTTCTAATTATCCAGCCTCTGCTTCTTTTTTCTTTCTTCTCTGTCTTCTCATTTTCTTTTTCTCCTTCTCCATCTTCTTGTCCTACTCCTTCCTCTTCTTCTTCATCTCATCCTTCTTTTTTTCTGAAATTTTTTAATGTTTTGTTTATGTCTTGTCTTCTGAAAAGCTGACATATATATATATATTTTTTAGAAATACTTCCTAACTTCATGGACTAAATTTTTATAAATGTATGTGTGTGTGAACTAGCAAGTGAATGAAAACATTCAGAATTGATATGTATGTTCTGACTGAGGATTGTCATTGCCTTGTTTTGCAGATGCTTATGAGAATGCCAGGTTTCTGTGTGAGCAGTACTACCTGGCCGCTCCTGAACTAAACATTGTCTCCAAAAACAGTTCAGGTAGGTTCTGTATGTTGTGGTCGACTTGTCTCTAAACTTGCTGTATTTCTAATGCTGGGTCAGTGGGTCTGAGGTTAGGGCTGTCATCTGACTAGTTCAGTGTTTCCAATTGTGGGGCCCATGCAGTTTGATTGTTGGGGGAAGGACGGCAGTTTGATTGTTGGTGGGGAGGGGGGGGGGGGGGTAGTTTGATTGTTTGGGGAGGGGGGATGGGGAGCAATTTGAAAAAAGCATCCAGAGTTTTGAGTTACATAGGAGGACATGGAGGACATGAATTTTAGAAAAGCTTAGTTGGGGCATGCCTCCTACCCCACACATACACACACAAACACACACCCCACCCCACCCCCCACCCCACACACACCCCACCCCACACACACACACCCCACACACACACCCCACCCCACACACACACCCCACCCCACACACACCACACCCCACACACACACCACACACCCCACACACATACCCCACACACACACCCCACCCCACACACACACCACACACCCCAGCCCACACCACACACCCCAGCCCACACACAAGATTGGGAAACACTGACCAAGTTTATATGCGGCAAAGAATAATTAGGCCAGGTAGGTCTTTCAGAAGGATGAGTGTTTGAAAGGGCTGAATGTAAGATGGGCCTGCATGCCTAAATTGTGACACTTTGAAAATAACATTTTATCGCTCTCCACTTACGAAGTCTGTCCCAGTCACCCCACCTATCCAACAAGTGTTGTTTCTCCCTCTGTCACTCTCACTACACCACCAGCCTGGGTTAAACTAAGACAATGTTGTGAGTATTAAGAATAACAGAAAGCTTATAAACTTGCCTTAACAAAAACTCAATTTGCTTGAAGTTCCATTCAATGAAAGAGAGAGAGGGGAAGAAGAGCGAGAAGATATGGGAGTAAGGAAGGGAACACAGAAAGGAAAAATGCAAAGGTAGAATAATGAGAGAAGACATGGAGAAGAGAAGAAACAGAGAGGGAGGGGATGATAAACAATGAGAGGGATAGTAGTGAGAGATTGATTTGGGGTGGGTGGGTGAGAAGAGAAGGTGGAGAAAGACAAAAGAGAGAGAGAGACTGCCGACCACCAGATGCATGATAAACTTGAGCAGCTTCAAAAGTAGAACTGATAGTGTGAGGAAAAGAAACAAAAAGAGAGGGATTCGACTTTGCAAAAGCTTGACAGATAAACCAGGAAATAAAAAAGCCATAAGCTGGTCCAACCAATGAAAAGACAAGGGTTTGAAAAGCGGGAGGGTGGGCTAGGCTGGGTATTAGTCTTTTTGTTGGTGACAGGCCAGCTGGTGCTGCAGAATCAGAAGTTCAACCAATGATTCCCGCCCAAGGGATGTGATTATCTATACAGATAGCTCTGTGTTAAGGGGCAGACAAAGTGCATGAGGTTTTATAGCAAAGGCGAATGTACATCGCCTAGTGCAGGAAAGCCTTGCATTTGATATCACAATGTCGAGTTTGAGAATGGAGGTGGAGGCAGTCTCTGCTGGCTTGAGAATCAGCTGTGCACACATGCTGTAATTGTAATTGACTCACAGAGCATGTTGAGAAAAGTGACACACCAGGCATGCTTCGTGCAGAGTGGCAAGCATCACTTCAGAGGTCCTGGGTAGTTAGCATCCTTTGGACATTTTCTCCAGGTTATTCTGGTATGTAGGGAAATGAGTAGGCATTTAGACTGGCTGGCTCTGCACCACTTGGTTTTGAATTGATGTATGACAAGTTAGATATTGTGAGGGCCCTTGGGGAGCAAGTGAACAGTGCAGAGGAGCAGATAGATCATTACGGTCTAAGGAGAATGGCGCTGCGAGGAGTTACCAGGAGATCTAGCCGATGCTGAATATTCAGGTAAAGGATGACGGTTACTGGCACCATTGGAACTCTTCACTGAGCACTTATGGGAGTGTCCCGAGTGCTGTGATGTCAATTTTTAATTCAACATTTGTTGTTGGTGCAGATTTCCAAGTTGTACAGCGCTCTTGGCAAGTGGCTGGCCAATGTGCTGAGAGACCAGATAATATGGAAGAAAAATGAGGCAGTGATGTCGATCCCCAATTTAAAACTTCTTTTTTTAGATAAATAAATTAATGTTTATAAATAAATAAAGGTAAATACACCTTATTTCCCCAGTCCTGGAGAATGAGAGTGATCCTATACAGATTGTGTATGTTCCTTCACACCTTTACCACATGTTGTTTGAACTGTTCAAGGTAAGTTTATTTTGTTTGCATTTTCCTCCATATATAGACTGAAAGAATATAGTTCCATCGTCCGGCTATTAGGATGAATGCAGTGTGCGACACTGTGAACTGCAGATTTTATTTAGAATACTTTTGTGTGTTCTGCGAATTGCAGATTCAGGAAATGGTGAGTGGCCTGTTGCCGGAGAACTGGTGGTGCCTTATGTGACTAATTGCATGAATAACTACAGAGTTGTCTTAAAACTTTCTGCCTGAGGGACGAAGAACCAGCAGCCTGCATACAAGCAAGCCAGATCTATAGAGTGGATGTGCATGCAAAACTCAGTTCTGGATCAAGACCAAAGTTTAGGAGTGGATGAACAACCAGAGTTTGCAGTCATAAAAAGTAGAAAAATTTGACAGTAAGAAGATTTGAGAAGCAGAGAGAGGCCTGTTTTCAAATTTACCTCCCCTCCCCCCCCCCCCCCCACATCCCCAAGCATGTCATAAAAGGCTAATAATAAGGGGTGTTGCCTTCAAAGTAGGAGTGCTCTGTCTAACAGCCAAGGAACCAACAGTCTGCATATATAATTTTTACTGCCAGGGAATCCTTAGAAGCAGAAGATTGTCAACAAACTAGTCCAGTGTTATATGACGAAAAATAAATCCACTGCTAACATTTGATTTTATTTCATTCTGTTCTTAGAATGACATTAGAGTGACAAGAAGCATGTCCTAATAGTAATGTTCATTTTCTCTCTTAGAATGCCATGAGGGCAACAACAGAGCACCATTCAGAGGAGGATCAGATTCCTCCACTGAATGTGATGATTGTCAAAGGACAAGAGGATCTATCAGTAAAAGTGAGTACCAGTGTTTGTTTTCATATTTACCTTTTTGTTGGGCGGTAGTGGCATGGCTGATGGGTTGCTTGGTTGGTGCGCTGGCTGGTTGGTTTGTTGTTTGGTTGGCTGGTTAGTTTATTGTATGGTTGGCTAGTTGGTTTGTTGTTTGATTGGCTGGTTGGTTTGTTGTTTGGTTGGCTGGTTGGTTGGTTGGCTGGTTGGTTGGTTGGCTGGTTTGTTTAATGTTTAGTTGGCTGGTTGGTTTGTTGTTTGGTTGGTTGATTGATTGATTGATTGGCTGTTTGGTTGTTGATTGGCTAGTTGGTTGGTTGGCTGGTTGGTTGATTGGTTAGCTGTGTTGGTTGGTTGTTTGGTTGTTGATTGGCTGGTTGGTTGGTTGTTGATTGGCTGGTTGTTTGGTTGTTGATTGGCTGGTTGGTTGGTTGTTGATTGGCTGGTTGTTTGGTTGTTGATTGGCTTGTTGGTTGGTTGATTGGTTGTTGATTGGCTTGTTGATTGGCTGGTTGTTTGGTTGTTGATTGGCTTGTTGGTTGTTGATTGGCTGGTTGTTTAGTTGTTGATTGGCTGGTTTTTTGGTTGTTGTTGGCTGATTGGTTGTTGATTGATTGTTGGTTGGTTGGTTAGTTGATTGATTGGCTATTTGGTTGTTGGTTGGCTGGTTGATTGATTGGCTGTTTGGTTGTTGGTTGATTGATTGACTGGTTGGTTTTTGATTGGCTGGTCGGTTGTAAATCCTCTGGAAGACTTAAGTTTTAACACATCAAGTCAGATACATTCATGCTCAAGTCATCTGAGCCATGCAAAACTCTTGCATCTGTCAAAGTGGTGCATGTACAAGGTCCGATAATTAAGTAATGAGACTGATTTTATTATGGCTAAAACAAAAGTGACATAATAAAGCAGAGCATGGAATCTAAAGAGACAACATTCATCTATGATCTGGCAACTTTTCATCACCACTCAATAAGCAGACAACAGACAAGCCTCCATTTTGTTGACCTAGTCAGAGATGCATTGTTACGTAATCAGCACGGAGCAAAAAGCTAAAATTAAATTCTTGGTAAACCCCAGAAAAAGTGCCATTGAAACTGTTTAATTGATTCAACAAGTTTATGGGGATAATTGTTTATCCTGTGCCCAAATTTTCACGTGGTATTCACAATTCAAAAGTGGTGTAGAAATTATTACTAATGCACCTAGACCTGAACGCCAAATTTCTGTACGTAATGATGAGCTCGTTGCAAAAGTCAGAGAACAGGTACAAAAAGATCATTGTTTTACTTTTGAGAATATGGCAGATGAATCTGGTGGCAATAGAGAGATCATTCATAAATTTTAGTGCAAGATTTTGGCAAGAAAAAAGTTGCTTGCTGGTTTGTACCACATTCATTGTTTGATGACCAAAAACATCAGCAGGTTGAGTAACCAATAAACATAATCAAAACAAGAATTTTTGGTCCAGAAACAAGTGTGTGTTCTCAGCCTTCTACCCTATTTCCCAGATTTGTCTCCCTGTGATTATTTTCTATTCCCAAAATTAGAGTTTCCATTAGAAGGATGCTTTTTTAACGATTTTGATGACACCCAAAAGGCCATAACATTGACTTTAAGGGCCATAACAACAGAAGAACTGCAGAGGTCATTCCAGTGTTTGTAAGATCATGCCACTTGCTGAATTAATGCACAAGGGGCTTACTTTGAAAAAAATACAGGTTATATCTTCAACTGTTGATTATTTTAATTTTTATAGAATTAGTCTCATTGCTTAATTGTCGGCTACTTCTCTTTCTTCTTCATTCACCCTTCCAGTGGGCTTAGCAGGTTGTATTGTGGTTCTGTAGAACAAATCTGCACGCAGAACTCCAGTTCTAGAACAAGACTAAAGTCCAGAACTGGATGAACAGCCAGAAATTTCTGCTGGAGTTTGCAGGTGATGAATGCTAAGAAGAAGACGAAGAAGAACAACTAACTGTAAATAACCACGACAGATGACTATGAGGGGACACGATCACATATGGTGCCCAGATATATTCATCTTCTGCCATCACCCTTAAAGTGGTGCTTGGCACGTGTTTGTGGTTTACAGCAAGGCTGCAATATCTGCTTTTTTCAGCCCAAACACATCTGATTTCAGCAAAACCGCAAACTACTTTTTACGACCTGCTCATTAGGGGGAACTCAACTTCCCCACCCCCAAATAGGGCTCTGGAACTCACATTTGGGATCCTCAGATATTCTCTTTATGCTGGTTGAAATAACTCAATTCATGTTTAGATATATAGTCTTTCCTGATTCCTATTTCTGACCAGGAAATAAATCATTTATCTATAAGATATAAATATTCTTTCCTGATTCAGATCTCTGACCAGGAAATAAATTATTTATTTATAAGAAATATATTCTGTCATGATTCAGATCTGTGACCAGGAAATAAGTCATTTATTTATAAGATGTATACTCTGTCCTGGTCGGCTCTGTGGCTAAGTCGATGCGAACACTTCGCTTCGTAATGCCGGGATGCGGGGTTCGATCCCAGCTGCGGGCAATGCGCCTTGCGTTGGTTTCGACAGTGGTATCAAGAAAGCCGACCGTCCAGAAAGCAGTGGCAAACTACTGGACGTAATTTGCCTAGAGAAACCACACAACAGCCAGGGGCTGTTAGGGTTGGTTCTGCAACGTCCTGTAAAGGATACGCAACAACCTTTACTCTGTCCTGATTTGTGACCAGGAAATAACATGTTCATTTATAAGATGTATATATTCTGTCCTGATTCAGATCTCTGACCAGGGAGGAGGCATTCCCCGAGCCAAACTGGAGCTGGTCTTCCAGTATATGTACAGCACCGCCCCCCAGCCTGCACGATCTGATATTGCTAGCGCTCCCCTCGCTGGCTACGGTTACGGCCTGCCCCTCTCCCGTCTGTATGCAAGATATTTCCAGGGAGACATTGTCTTAAACTCATTTGAGGGATATGGAACAGATGCAATCATTTATTTGAAGGTAGGTGTATTTGAAGGTACTGTTAATGCCAGAATACAAGTAGGATTATTTTAGAAGTATTAAAAGGATGCCATTGATCAATTTTAAGGTCCCCATGTGGGTTCTGGGGCTCCATTATGGTTTCTGGGACCCCATTGTGGGAAAAAAAGAATAGACCCACTCCCTTCCCAATATGCATGTCGTAAGAGTCAGTTAATTGGGAGCTTCCTTTGAAGTCAAGAGTACATTGGCCTGAGAGGCAAAGAACCAAATGTCTGCATGAAAATGAGTAGACATGTAAAACGGATGTGCATGCAACACTCAGTTTCTGGAACAGGACTAGAGCCCAGAAGTGGACGAACAACCAGAACTTTTTGCCACAGCTTACAGCCAGTGAACGCAAAGAAGAAAAAAACAAAATAAATGTGAAGGGATGAACAGACAGGTTTATAACTGAACAGATCCCATTCTGACCAGATACATTTTTGTCCATAATAGTAGGTCAAAGGATTTTCCCCATTAGGCCCCAGTGTCCTATTGTGGGTAAACAAGAATAGATCCCCTAACATGAATGCTGTAAAAGTCGACTAATTAGGGATGATTCCTTGAAAGCTGGAGTGCGTCTGCCCAAGACATCAGCAACCAACGGTCTGAATCAAAATAAGCCAGATCTGAAAAACGGATGTGTGCATAAAACTTTGATTCTGAAACAAGAACAAGATCAACATCGTCGTTTATTTTGGAGGGGTAGCACCTTAAAAAAATGTTGAAAAAACACTGCCTTAGATATGAATATTTTCTAGATATATGTACATATTTTAAACTGTATTTTAAAATATGTCTCTGTTCTCCAATTCTCCAGGTGCTATCAAACGAAGCCAATGAAATGCTACCTGTCTACAACACGACAGCATCGAAAGTCTACCACACGGACATCCCGGTCAATGATTGGTCTTCCAGCTGGGTCACCAGTCACAGGCTACAGAACCCCACACCAAAGTCCCGCAGTTAATGATCCGTGCTGCCAGGGTTGGGCGCAGGAAATGGGCGACTGTGGCTAGTCAGGAATTAGGACACAGAATCATCGATTGTAGTGATGTGTGTTGTTGCTGATTCCAATATTTTCTTTTGTATTTGGGCTTTTTTTCTCTAAAGTTTCATAAAATGTAAAATGGTTGTACAGATATGAATAAAATCTTGACAAGATGATGAAGGAATGAATGAATCGATCAATGAATCAATCAGTCAATCAGTGAATGAATAAATCTTCTTCATCCTCTTCTTCTTAGCATTCACCTGCTGTAAACTTGGGCATAAAGTTTTGGTTGTTTGAACACTTTTAAATTTTGGTCTTGGTTCAGAAACTGAGTTTTGCATGCACATCCATTTCACAGATCTGGCTTGTGTGTATGCAGACTGTTGGTTCCTTGCCTCTCAGGCTCTCTGACTATGAAAGAAACACTCCTAATTACTGGTTGGTCGATTGATTGGCTGGTTGGTTATAAATACTTTGGAGGACTGTTGAGTTCTGGCTGATAAAGTTTATCAGATGGTTACTGGTACCATCGGAATTGGAATTCTTCATTTGCTGCTGAAGATGGGGACTGAGCACTTATGGGAGTGTTCCGAGTGCTGTGATGTCGATTCTTAATTCAACATTGATAAAGTCTGACACCAAGGCATCTGTGGCCTGCAGAACTGTCGGCAAGATAAAAGGTGCAAAAGCTTCCTTCTCAGCAGATACTTCTCTTTCTTCTGCATTCACCCTTCAAGTGGGCTTCCTTCTCAGCAGATACTTCTCTTTCTTCTGCATTCACCCTTCAAGTGGGCTTCCTTCTCAGCAGATACTTCTCTTTCTTCTGCATTCACCCTTCAAGTGGGCTTCCTTCTCAGCAGATACTTCTCTTTCTTCTGCATTCACCCTTCAAGTGGGCTTCCTTCTCAGCAGATACTTCTCTTTCTTCTGCATTCACCCTTCAAGTGGACTTCCTTCTCAGCAGATACTTCTCTTTCTCCTGCATTCACCCTTCAAGTGGGCTTCCTTCTCAGCAGATACTTCTCTTTCTTTTGCATTCACCCTTTAAGTGGGCTTGACACGTTGTAGCTAGCGCCTCCTACAACATGCTGGGGGGGGGGGGGGGGGGTGTCGGGGTCTATTTTTTTCTCCAAAACTGTCCTTCAACAAGCATGTTATAAAATCGACTTATTGGGTATGTTTTCCTCAAAGTCAAGAGTACATCTGCCTGAGAGGCAAGGAACCAACAGTCTGCTTACAAGTAACTCAGATCTGTAAAACGTATGCATATTCAAAACTCAAATTATGGAACAATACCAAAGTCAAGAAGTGTGAAAACAACCAAAAACTCTCCACCAGAGTTTTTTTAGATGGTGAACGTTAAGAAGAAGACGATGACTGCTGAATAAGTCTGGTGAAATGGTTGGTCATCTAACGTGACTGCAGCCAGACAAGATACCTCAGCGAGTTATGTATAGGCTAAGGGGGAATTGGAGAGACAGGCCATGTAAGTGATAGACAGAAGGGGTAAGAGAGTCCCTGAAAACTCTCATGTGTGAAGCGTGCAAAATGGCACTTTACGACTGTTTATATTTCACTGCCACAACACCACAGTACTGTTCAGTAAAGTGAATCTTAAGTCAGTTAGACCTGTACTCAAACAATTATAGTGAGGTGTATTATACTAATCACTTAGTGTGTGCGAGCATGCATCAGAGAGAGAGAGAGAGAGAAAATAACTTCTGATTGTGTGTGCTCCTATGTATTATTGTACATGTGTGTGCAGGCATTTATATGTATGTGTGTGTACATCCACGTGTATGTATGTCTGAGTGTATTTATGTGTGGGTGTATTCATTTGTGTGCGTATGCGAGTGTATTCATGTGTGTGTGAGTATTCATGTGTGTGAGTACATCTGTGTGTATGTGTGTGTGTATATATATAATATATATATATATATGTGTGTGTGTGTTTTCATGTATGTGTGTGAGTTAAGGTACGGTCTATTCACCATATTGTCCATCGATGTCAGCTGGTCTAAAAAAAACTTTTGGACTGGCACCACATATTCTATACACACCACAGCTTTAAAACATTTCCTTTACATGTATGTGTGTTTTAAATATGTGTGTTTACATGCACATATATATGTCTGTGTTAAACATGTATGTAGGTAGAAAGGTGCACATACGTATGGTTATCAGAGGAAGTAATTGATTGGAGGGTGGGTAGGGTGGGGGACATTCCTCTTTTCTAAGGTAAATTTGTCTCTCACCTGGACCCAGTTTGTCTCTCGTCAAAACAGACAGACAGACAGACAGACATTGACCAAGGCATTTAGTTCTGTCTGTTGTGCATATTGTACATTGAATCACTCTTTTGTTATAATGTAACAATGTTTTAAAATATTGAATCACTCGTTTTGTTATAGTGAAAAAAATAAACTCTATTGATATCAGGTATGTTGTAATGTAAAGCTTTGTTAAATAAATACTATACAAGTTTCAAATATTTTCACCACTGCTCTCATGCTTTGTGACAATAATAGTAACATATTGCTTAGATACTAAACAGTAATAAATTCCTTCTTGTTCATTTGTTTATTGTTGTTTGTTTTCTGATTGGCTGTTTGAGGTCAGGTGATGTAGATAGGATGCTTTGACTGATTGGCTGTTTGAGGTCAGGTGATGTAGATAGGATGCTTTGACTGATTGGCTGTTTGAGGTCAGGTGATGTAGATAGGATGCTTTGATTGATTGACTCACACACAAAAACACTGACTGACTCATGAACACACCCTGACAGACTGACCCACACACAGAAACACACAGTGACTGACTGACCCACACACAGTGACTGACTGACACACACACAGTGACTGACTGACCCACACACAGTAACACACAGTGACTGACTGACACACATACAGTAACACACAGTGACTGACTGACCCACACACAGTAACACACAGTGACTGACTGACACACACACAGTAACACAGTGACTGACTGACCCACACACAGTAGCACACAGTGACTGACTGACACACACACATACTGACTGACTAATTCACTGAATGACTGACTTACATGTGCACTCACACACACTGACTGACTTCCGTAATGAGTGACTTACTGACAGTGATTGACAGACTCACTGAATGACTCACTGACTGGCTGACTCACTTACTCACTGACTGACTGACTCACTCACTCATTCACTCACTGGCGGACTGACTGACTGACTCACTCACTGACAGACTAACTGACTGACTGAATGACTCACTGACTGACTCCCTCACTCATTGACTGACTCACTCACTGACTGACTAAATGACTGACTAAATGACTCACTGACTGACTAAATGACTCACTGATTTACACACATGCACACAGACTGACTGACTCATACACGCACACACTGACTGACTAACTCACACACTGACTAATTGGGTGATTAACAGACTGAATGACTGACTCACTTACTGAATATGACTCGTTCACTTGCTCACTTACTCACTCAAACACTCACTGACTGACTGACACACACATACTGAGAGACTCACTCACAGACTCATTCACTGAATGATTGACTGACTGACTCTCCCCCCCCCCCCCCCCCAATAGGCAATTTTACACAACAAAATAGAAGGCATACATAACAAAATAGATGGTAATCACACAAAATGGAAGGCAATTGCGTAACAAAATAGATGGCAATTATAAAACAAAATCTTGATGGACATCATCTTTGGGGGACATCTCAGGGGGAGGGGGGATTATCTGTGAGGGACATCTCAGGGGGAGGGGGGACATCTCAGGGGGAGAGGATTATCTGTGAGGGACATCTCAGGGGGAGGGGGGTTATCTCTGAGGGACATCTCAGGGGGAGGGGGGGGGGGGGTTATCTCTGAGGGACATCTCAGGGGGAGGGGGGTTATCATCTGTGAGGGACATCTGAGGGGGAGGGGGGTTATCATCTGTGAGGGACATCTGGGGGGGGGGGGGGGGGTTATCATCTGTGGGGGACATCTCAGGGGGAGGGGGGTTATCATCTGTGAGGGACATCTCGGGGGGGGGGGGGGGTTAAATCATCTGTGAGGGACATCTCAGGGTGGGTGGGGGGTTATCATCTGTGAGGGACATCTCAGGGGGAGGGGGCACATCCTTGGGGGACATTATCTCTGGAAAAAAAAAGGGGGGGGGACATCTCTGGGGGCAATATCTCTGGGGGGAAAAAAATGGGGGGGGGGGGGGGACATCATCTATGGGGGATATAATAAAACAGATGGCAATTACACAACAAAATAGATGGCAATTGTATAGCAAAATACATGGCAATATCATAGCAAAATATATGGCATTTACATAGCAAAATATATGGCAATTACATAATTGCGTGTGATATGGATTCTTTACCAAGGTGAACCCAGGATTGTTTCGTTCACGAAGGTGAACATTTTAAAGTCTAGCGACTGCAGCAAAAAGTAACGATAAATGGCACCGACCTCCGAGACCGTCAATGTCTAACTTTAGCTAGAGAAGGAAGGGGTCATTTCAAGTTCGTGCCGCAATCTACACGAAAACTTGGTGGGGGAAAACGTCGGAATATTCACACACAACTCCCGCCAGGTAGACTCTCACTCTCGACACTTTACTTTTAGAGCAAGGTACATGTTCATTTTTTTACCCTAAGTCGACCCAGGCTAAAATTAAAACAAATGAATAAATCAATTAAATGGATTCCTAACAGTTGAACTTATCTACCAGTGAGTGCTACACTGTTCTGTTCAGTAATTCATGACCGACACCAGCTGGAGCCGGTCGTGAATAATTCTGCCTCTAATGTCCTGGCAAGTAATGGCGGGCTGTGTGATGCCGACCACATCACCCACTAAACTGAATGTGTTATGTGTTAGATTATGGTGATTATCTTCACGGCACTCCGGACACATCCATAGGTGCTCAAATTCCCCTCTCAACATATTCATCAGTGTCGTACGGTTAATAGTGTCAGTATTATGTTGGTTAACAATGCTTCATGTGCGTCCGGTGTGCTTCTCATGCTTGGCTGAGCCGATCTTTACTTCCAATTCGCTTATTTTTAGCAGTGATGTGGACACGTCACTTTTAGAATCCTCAGAACGTCCTATCTCTCTAAGGGCAATGACAGTGTCTGGGTGATCCATGGGCTGGCCATCTTCAATAAATGCAGCAACTGCCAGTCTATCAGCTCTTTCATTACCAACAACACCTGCATACTCTGGGAAGAATATGAAAGTAACTGCACACACAGGATGGTTTTGCAATGACTCAAACCACTGTCTGCGTAACCAGCCTGCCTCGACCCGCTGGATCATGCTCAAAGAATCACTCAGCAAACGCGCGAACAGTGCTCTGATCCCAGCCACATGAAAGCTTGTGTCACCGCCACCACCTCCATCGTCATGCTGCTGGTGGTCATGGAGAAGGCACCGTTGGCTTCTTGAACTCTTCTGCCTGAAGAGCGAGCTATAAATGCCCATGCACTAAACTGAATGGAATGCCGATTGGTCTTTAGAATTATCACATGAAATTGAAGCGAGCAACATGTGTCTGTTGCACCATTTTCTTTGAAACTAAAAGGGTCCTTTTTATCACTTCATCTCTTGTGTAATGTCCTGGCAACTGTCTGTCCATCCACATCTGATTCTTGCACTCTTCTTCCATCCCTAACAACATGAGTGTGTCTCTCCCTCCACATCTGATTCTTTCACTCTTTTCCTATCCCTAACATGAGTGTGTCTGTTCGTCTGCTGATACTTTTCTCTGCCATACAGAAAGCTGCAGAGAATCGCCTCTCTGCATTATGAGGTCATCTTTCTCTGTCTATCTTTCCATTTGTCACTGTTCCAGTTTTTGTCTTCCCATAATGTGGCGAAATTTGACGACTTTCTTTTCCTGATGTTTGTGAAAAGCTGTCTTTATGCTGCTAAAAAAAGTTCTAAACATGAGTTGCATGTCCTTTACCAACCCCAGCATTTTCTTTGGTTGTTTATGATTTTACATTCAGTAGTTTGCCATTACGTCTAAATGGTCAACTCTTGACCTCTGTCAAAACAGTTAGATTTTTCAGTTTGGCTGTCCACAGAATAAAAGAAATTTTAAAAAAAGTTAAATTGCTGCTTACTAATTGTCCAGGGTCGACAGCTATATAATCATCATGTGATTTATCCAGCGGCTATAGCACTCATGTCTCTCCATATGTCTCAGTTCTTGGTATTCTGAATCACTTCCACTGATGATATTTCTCCATGTCATCTTTTCAAGCCTCTGGGTTTTTCACCGTTGATCTTTCAGACATCACGATGTTCTCCAATGTCTCTCTTCTCATAACATGGCTTAACTCTTTGAGTCCCAGTGGGTTTAGCATAAGGGCCCGTGAAGTGGTCAAGAGAGATTTAAAATCGCTGCATCTTGCGTTCATTGGGCCTCTAGGTAGAATCTATGAATGTATGATACGTTCCTTGGGACTCAAAGAGTTAAGAACACTAACTGCCTCTTTGAGTCACACACAGCGGGCTGTGTGGTCTTGAGGCATAATGTCGGCCTTGAGTGCTAGAGGTTCCAGGTTCAGATCCCTGTAAGAGCGGGATTTTTTCACGTGGAGTTGGACTTCTAGTAATTCCCCCTGGTCTCTGGGTAGTGAGATCGGACGCCCATGTGCATTTGAAATCGAAAAGAGTTATTGCAAAAGATGTTCTTCAGTTTATAAAACGTAATTCATCATTAATCTATTGCATTTTTTATCAATTAATTTTCAAAGAAGAAGAAATTTAGATTTTGAAATTGTCTTCTAACGCCACTTTTGGTTTCACCAGGTCGCGTCAGATGGTCATGAGAAAAATACACAAAAATACTTTTCTAGACAAGGCCCATTTGTGGTCAGTTCGGACACTGATGGGGTTTACAGTTGCCGGATGTCTTGTCGTGGGAGTCCAGTTTTATAATTATGTCAAAAGTAAGAGTTTTATTTTTTTTCCTATTTTGTTTTTTTCCTTTGTCATCTCAGTGATACCAGGTCATAGCCCAGTGTCGTTGTTTTGTTGTCTCACTGATACCATAATGTAGCCCTGTGTCGTCATTTTGTCATTTCACTGATACCATAATATAGCCCTGTGTCGTCATTTTGTCGTTTCACTGATTCTATAATGTAGCCCTGTGTCGTCATTTTGTCGTTTCACTGATACCATAATGTAGCCCTGTGTCGTCATTTTGTCGTTTCACTGATACCATAATGTAGCCCTGTGTCGTCATTTTGTCGTTTCACTGATACCATAATGTAGCCCTGTGTCGTCATTTTGTCATTTCACTGATACCATAATGTAGCCCTGTGTCGTCATTTTGTCATTTCACTGATACCATAATGTAGCCCTGTGTCGTCATTTTGTCGTTTCACTGATTCTATAATGTAGCCCTGTGTCGTCATTTTGTCGTTTCACTGATTCTATAATGTAGCCCTGTGTCGTCATTTTGTCGTTTCACTGATACTATAATGTAGCCCTGTGTCGTCATTTTGTCGTTTCACTGATACCATAATGTAGCCCTGTGTCGTCATTTTGTCGTTTCACTATACCATAATGTAGCCCAGTGTCATCATTTTGTCATTTCACTAATACCATAATGTAGCCCTGTGTCGTGGTTTTCTGTATTTGTCATGCACTTCTTGGATGGCTTGGGTGATGGATCTGTTCATCTTTCTGGAGGTTTCAGCTACACAATTTATCCAACACTTTCTTGGTCTTCCTCTTGCCTTCCTCCCAGATGTTCTGCTGTAAAAAGTCTCACATGCCATTTGTCCTGGCTGCATTATCACTATATGGCCAAAACATTTCTTTCTTTGTAGATATAATTCATACATGCTTATTCCAACATTTTCTCTAATGCTAAAATTCGTAATCCTATCCCTTCTAGAATTGTTAGTGACCTTACGGAGACAGCAAATTTTACATGTAGTTATTGTCTGTTCTAGTGCCCTACTTATTGTCCATGTTTGGCACTGATAGCATAGAGCAGGGATGAAGATGCTGCTATTTATTCATTTGCTGTTTTCCTGGAAGAGTTCATTTGGGTGTCTTAGCACTCAGGCTAACTAGTAAGTGACAGCATTTGCCTTCTGTACTCTTTTCTGTGTCTACCTCGGGAAATCTTAAACATTATCGATCATGGACACACGTCTTACTGGCTGTATTGCCAGTTTTTGATTATCTTTCTTTCGTTGATGATGATTTCTTTTTTGTTTTGTGTGACGAACATTTGCTGTATCTATTCCAGCTGAGCCACTGGCATAAAGAATGCGTAAGGTCTTCACAGGTGCTGTTTGTTTCACGCTGTGAAGGTCATGGGTTTGTTCACGGTTGTATCGTTCGGTTTGGCTTAGCCTTATTTGCAACAATAACAAAATGACAAAAAAAAATCACATTTAGCCAGCATCCACAAAGGGAGAGCTTTAAGTTATATTTATGACTAGGTTGTGTGCGCCAGATAAAATGGCTTGTCATTGCACGCCATCAAGTAGCCCTGAAAATGTCTCTTGCAGTGATGTTGCGATCAAAGGAGATGGTTCAAAATACTGTCGTGACCGGCGATGAAGTCATCTACCGACCAGCCAATGGACGACCAGGTCACCGATGATGTCATTTGGCTCATAAGTACAGTTTTTATAGAGCTCCCTTGGGATCATCGCCGGAGCTGCAGTGTTCATTTCTTGTGTAATGCTCTCAGTTAGCCAGTCTGCATAGAGTGACCGAGTGGTATTGAATAAAACCCAGTGCAATAAAGTTGATCCTCACTAATGTAACCTTTAGTTTGGCTTGATTATGGGCCAGATTTCTTCTCTCTGACTGGCAAGGTCTGGCAGTCATGTAAAATATACTTTGCAGTTTTCTTCTCGTGCTCCACATTGATGTTTGGCAGTTCAGTGAGACCCATTCAATTGAAGCAACATTAGTCTCCCCAAAAAGAGTAGGTCACTTTTCATTCATACGTTTGTTGGGCTGGTCGACTTTCCCAAAGGTTACGGGTGTATCCCGCTCTGTTGATTTCTTTCTGTGTTGTCCTGCATTTACATTTTCATTCCTAGAAAGAGAATGCCTGTGACATAGGTTGCAGCACTCTCTGGGTGGGGGAGTATTAGGACCAGTTGCTCCATGTTTTTGGAGCGTTAAAAGCACTGGCATGCTGAAATATACAACACGCAGTATCAATAATATCACGAAACACCCCCACAACCTTGTGCGAAGACCACAGGGCTCAGGAACTACCAAGTGACCTGATGTGTATATAGGCGGGGCAAGGGGGGAGATCGTTACTTTTACCACCTATTCTACATAAGCTGAGTCTAAACATGTTGGTCTGTGGATTTCTACCCAGCCTGTTTGAGGTTTGTTGTACTCAGATCTGAAATTTTGGTCTTCGCAGTTTGCTTTAACAAACAATTCAAAAGGAGGACAGACATTTGAACAGAGTGGCAAACCTTTCATATGGAAGAAAAACAAACATTTGAATAGACTAACAAAAATATTTCAAAAGCAAAACAAACATCTGAAAAGATTTGACAGACATTTGAACAGATTGAGAAGCCCATCCACAACTTCTCATGGACTGCTGCAGTGTATATGTATCTTGGTTGTTGTATTTTGTGCTTTTGTTGTAAACTTTTTTTTTTTACTGGGGGGTGGGGGTTTAGGGTAGCATGTTTTTGTATTGTAATTTTGTTGTTGTTCAAACTTATAATGTTTTGTTTTTGAAATCTTTTTTTTTTTTTTTTGTAATTTTATTATCTTCCTTTGTTTTTATAGTATGCACATTGTTAATGTTGTCAGTTGTTGCGCTGTGCTCCTGTTTTCTTTACTTGGTTTACAATCTCTTGTTCTTGTTGTAATCTGTGTCTATTGTTATAATCTAATTTTGTGCGTGTGAGCTGTAATCTGTCTTTGTTATTGTAAGTCTTATCTCTTATCATAATTAGTGTATTGTTTTGGGGTTTCAGTCTCTTGTCTTTGTTGTTATAATTTACATTGTTGTTTATTTCTTTTGGGGGGGGGGGGGGTGGAGCTGTAATCTGTATTTTGTTTTTGTAACTACAAACACACTACATGACTTTGTCCCCTCCCCCCAGATGTGAGACCCACCAAACTGGAAGTCTGGAGGAAAGCTAAAGAGGAAGAGGTGGCCCTGGAGCAGCACGAGAAAGAGCTGGAGTTGCTGAGGAGGCAGCAGGAAGCAGAAAGCACAATCACTTCCTGACATTTTAAATAGAAGAGACTTTATCGACATGTGTTGGCGTTATTTTCTACAGTGTTGCGGCAACCTGTCAGCTGAATTATGCATTGTGTTATTTTAATTGAAAGCAGTTTTTGTTTGTTCACTAGGTTTTCTTTCTTCTTTGTTCACCGGCTGTGAGTTCCAGTGGAAAATACTGGTTATTCATCCATTTGAACTTGGACTTTGTGCCAGGGCCTGAGTTTTGTGTGTACATCCGTTTTACTGGCTTATTTGTGTGCAGTTGGTTGTTCCTTGCCACTCTGTACGATGCAATCAGACTTCAAGGAAGCTCCCAATTAGTTGACTCTTCGACATGCTTTTGTTTTTGGGGTAGACAATGGGTCTGTTCTTGTTTTGCTCACAATGGGGCCCTGCAACCCACACTGGGATATTTTTTAGCGAGGTGTGTCTGCCTGAGAGGTGAGGAACCAACAGTCTGCATACAGAGAAGCCAGATCTGAACATTCTGATGTTCTCACGAACAAAGAACTTCTCACCGTAGTCCCTTGCTGGTGACAACTAAGAAGGAGGCGCAGGGGACGGAGAAGGGCTTTTCATGTGATTTTTTTTACTGGCACAGAGGCGGATCAGTGACGGGGCGACTCACTTGCTGTGGAGTTGGAACCTCACCTACCGCTGCTACATTGAAACTCTTGGTTGTCACTTGAAAGATTGGATGACAGTGTTAGATGTAGCAACATCTAGCCTGTTCTGCTTGTGGGTTTCATTACTACCGAAAAGACTGGCTGGTTAAGTTGTTAAAGTGCTCATGTTACATTTCCATAACTTCTGACGCAGATGACCTTAAACCCAACTTTTCTGCACCATCCATAAGAGTGATAAATGCAGGAGATCAAGATTTTGTGTGTGTGTGTGTGTGACTAGCGAGTTTCAGTTCTAGGGGTCAGCAAGATGTCTTCAACATGTGACGACCATCAGGTCTAGCCACTTCCGTGACAGAGTCCATAAGTCTCTTGAGACTTCTGTCTAATGGGCTCTAACTCATCGAAGGGAATTAACGTTTAACACAGCTTTTTCTAATGTATTTTAGTTATGGTTCTTGTCGGCCACAGCTCTTTTCTGGCTAGTATTCATTGCCTGTATTTGCACTTTTGTCTTCAGCTGGCCAGGCAAACATGTGAATTCTTCTTGGAATTACCTGAGTTGGGTGTTGTTGTGTAATCTTGTAGGTAACTGTCAATTCATGTAACATGCTGATGAAGGCTCTTTGGCTGCATCGTTCACTTTTTGTTTGTGATTATGATAATAGGCAACTCACTCGTTCTACTTTTGGTTTGGCATGATATCTTTTCATTGTAACTGGCCATGGTTAAATATAATTCTGTTGAGACAGTAATCACAAATCAGCCGGAATCTGTTGAAGGGTTCCGCTCTCAGGTGTCATTATCATAATCAGTTTCCACTTTTGCTGTTACGTCTATTGTTCATTTATTAGATCATCTTCATCACACGTGACCATAAGTGCTCCAATCTCCTCCTGTGTATGTCTTCAAGTAAGTGTTTTTAGGCTAACAACTCCCATTCTGTTCTGGCTGATGTAACGACGAGTGGCTCCCGTGTGGTTTTCCTGTCTCATGGCTCCAAGTGGTACACCCACGGTATGCAGTCTATTCATTGGGGGGGGGGAAATGTCCACGAAAATGAAAGCTTCACAGCGTTTAGTCTCTCGTATGGCATTTATGATGTCTCTCCTATCCATAGATGGCCCATTTCTGATAGGCGCACTTCCAGCCAAGCGTCTGCTTTCTCATTGCCTTTCACTCCAGCATACCCTGGGACAAAAATAAAGGTTTTGCTGTTACACATCATGAGGTAAGCATTGTGGGGTGTCCATATTGTAATCCACTGCTCCATGGATAACACCAGGTAACTCAAGGAGACAGCAGCAACAAGAAAAACATCCAGAAGGCTGTACTGCTTGTGTAGAATAGAACAGCAGTCAGTGAGAAGATTCAACTTTTTGTTTTGTCAAGTGTTCAAAAATTAAGAAATAAAACATTTCACAGAATTCTTCTACTTCTTTTCTTTTTCTTCCTTCCATCTGCCAGTAGAACTTGGCCTTCAACTAACTGATCCTAAGCCCCAGTTTCAACTCACAGGTGATAGATATACAAGCAGGCGAGAATGCATTGACCATTGTATCAAGTTCCAAACTTTATAACAAAATAAAACTTAACCTCCTTTTGTGATTATCAGCTTTGAGTCTCTGGGTGTTGCAGTTTACAGATAGGCCGGGGCATGCTTGGTTGTCTTGTATGCTGTGTTGTTGTGAAACAACAGATAGGCTGCTGAGCCGGGGCATGCTTGGTTGTCTTGTATGCTGTGTTGTTGTGAAACAACAGATAGGTTGCTGAGCCGGGGCATGCTTGGTTGTCTTGTATGCTGTGTTGTTGTGAAACAACAGATAGGTTGCTGAGCCAGGGCATGTGTGATTGTCTTGTATGCTGTGTTGTTGTGAAACAACAGATAGGTTGCTGAGCCAGGGCATGTGTGGTTGTCTTGTATGCTGTGTTGTTGTGAAACAACAGATAGGCTGCTGAGCCGGGGCATGCTTGGTTGTCTTGTATGCTGTGTTGTTGTGAAACAACAGATAGGCTGCTGAGCTGGGGCATGTGTGGTTGTCTTGTATGCTGTGTTGTTGTGAAACAACAGATAGGTTGCTGAGCCAGGGCATGTGTGGTTGTCTTGTATGCTGTGTTGTTGTGAAACAACAGATAGGTTGCTGAGCCAGGGCATGTGTGGTTGTCTTGTATGCTGTGTTGTTGTGAAACAACAGATAGGCTGCTGAGCCGGGGCATGCTTGGTTGTCTTGTATGCTGTGTTGTTGTGAAACAACAGATAGGTTGCTGAGCCAGGGCATGTGTGATTGTCTTGTATGCTGTGTTGTTGTGAAACATCAGATAGGTTGCTGAGCCGGGGCATGTGTGGTTGTCTTGTATGCTGTGTTGTTGTGAAACAACAGATAGGCTGCTGAGCCAGGGCATGTGTGGTTGTCTTGTATGCTGTGTTGTTGTGAAACAACAGATAGGTTGCTGAGCCAGGGCATGTGTGATTGTCTTGTATGCTGTGTTGTTGTGAAACATCAGATAGGTTGCTGAGCCGGGGCATGTGTGGTTGTCTTGTATGCTGTGTTGTTGTGAAACAACAGATAGGCTGCTGAGCCGGGGCATGTGTGTGTGCATTATTCTATTATGTATATTTTTTTTTATAAACGAAAATTATGTCCACAGATCAAACTGGCTGTCACCCAAAAATAACAATAAATGATGAAGAAATTGAAAATTTCTCAAATTTTGAATATCTAGGCTCTATAATAAACAACAATGGAAACTGTTTAACAGAAATTAAAAGGAGGATGGCCATAGCAATGCAAAGATTGAACAGCCTTAAAAGACTATGGTTTAGCACCAGCAAGGAGATAAAAATTAGAATTTTGAAAGCATGCATCTTCCTTGTGGCTACATACGGATGTGAGTCGTGGACTATCTCTCAGTCCTTCAGAAAGAGAATAGGGGCTTTTGAGCTGAAATGTTATAGAAAGATTCTCAGAATATCTTGGACAAAGAAGATGAGAAATTTTGACATCTTAAAAGGTCTGAACATCAAGGAAGATTGGCTAATAAACAGCATCCTTTCTCGAAAGCTGAAATATTTTGGTCATATCAAGCGCCACGACGGATTGGAAAGAATTATAGCAGAAGGCATGGTACCAGGAAGGAGGGGCAGAGGCCGACCGACACGAAGATGGGCACATGATATAAGTGACTCCTTGAGTGTGAAAGTTCATGAGGCGGGAGAACTGGCAAGAGACCGAGTTTCTTACAGGCAGACTGTGATGAGAGCGACGTTCTGCAAAGGACCTGCTACATGATGATGATGATATTTTTTTAAATTATAAACCTAACATGCATTATTGACAACAGGCATTAGTACTCTGAGAGATAAGTGCTTAGAAGGGCGAATGTCAGACAGGCCTGCGGGCCCAATTTGTAACCCTTTGAAAATAAAATTTGTTCGTTCATTCGTTCTTCCTGTTAGCGCTCGCTGGCTGGAAACTCCAGGTTGTTCATCCACTTTAGGACTTTGATCTTGTTCCAGAAGATAAGATTTGTGTGCATTTCTGTTTTACAGGTCTGGCTTATTTGTTCTCAGATTTCTTGGTGCCATTGCCTGTCAGGTGTTTCCATTAACAAGTTGTGTGCTTTCACTGCCGGTATAGTTGCACTTATTTCCACTAAGTGGCTGCATTTCAGACTGTCCAGAAATTTAACGAAGGCTTTGTTTCAACAGTTTTAATCTCTTCATTTCTCACACCATCATTTCTGATTTTGTTCACAGCTTTTATCAATCATCTTTTTCTTTTGCCTTTATCCGAAGATGTAATTGTGTTGTGTCCGTTTACAGCATGGCTGCGATATTTGCACCTTTCAGCCAACACATCCGACTTCTGCGGGCATTTGTTGACCGGGTTAGCCTTCCTGGTTATCAAGCATCTAATTTCATAGATGTTATAGCTGGTGTGGCATGATGGCTAGATGCCGATCTGAAGACCTTATGTTCGAATCATCATTGAGTCAAATTTTTCTTTTTCTCAAAAATGACCTTGCCTCCCAGGTCAACCCAGCCTAAAACAGGTAGGTAAAGTTTGGGGAAGTAAAGGGGGCCAACGTGATGCTGACCACATCACCCACCGAATGTCAACTGTTCTATTAATTTTTTTAGTATTGTATACTAACTAGATCCTCCACTGATCTGGGTCCTTTAAGTTTACATATAACCACATACAAGAAACAATAACCACATACGAGAAACAATTCAGACATAACAGACAGACCAACAGAAACTGTCGCAGCAGTTAAAGAATAAATGTATTTTATTCCTAAACAGTCCTGAGACTGAAATAGCAGCTACAAATATAATAACAACGAGAAATAACAACCTTCAACAATAATTAAAAACTT